AGCCCTCTTAAATGCAATGGTAGTATTCATTTCACTTTGCAAATTGTCAACTCAACCTGCATGTTAACCTTGAGAATCCTCAACTCGGATTCCCAAGGCCCATTGTGCTTCAGATTTCTGGAGCCTTTCCTCATTTAGAAAATAATCTCACATCTATTCTACCTTTCAAAATGCATAACCTCATACTTTGCCACTTCGTATTTTATCTGTTCCTTCTCCGCCCGCTCTCCGCGCATGTCAAGTCCTTCTGCAGTTTCCTTGCTTCCTTAGCAACAAATGCTGTTAGTTCCTTCATTGAGATCATTAATGCATAACATAAATAGTGTGGGCCTAACACTGACCCCTGTAGAACTCTACTAGTCACCAGCTGCCATCCTGATAAAGACCCTTTTATCCCCATTCTTTGCGTTTTTTGCTAGTTAGCCAATCCTCTATCCAGGGCAATAATTTGCCTGTAAAACCAATGGGCTCATATTTTGTTTAGTGGTAGGATTCTATAATTAGGGAGACAGATAGCATTCTTTGTGAGCAGAATTGAGAGTCCCACATTGAATGGTACCAAGACGAAGAACATCTTGAGATGGCTTGCAAAAGATCCTGGAGAAGGAGGGTGAGGCTCTAGTTTTTGTGATCCACATTGGCACCAACATCATAGCAAAGAGATCCTGTTCGGGGAATGTCAGGAATTACAAATAAAATTTGGGAAAAAAAGTAGGGCCTCAAAGGTTCTAATCCCTGAATTAATACCTGAGCCACATACAAATTGACAAAGACATAAGATTGGGGAAGTAAACATGTGGCTAAAAGATTTGTGTGGGAACTGGCATCAGTAGTAGACCTATGGGAACTGTACCATCAGAACAGGTTCCACCTGAACTGGTCTGGGACTAGGATCCTAGTGGAAAGGCTAAACGGGGTGGTCACAAGGACTTTAATAACCTCTCCTGAGCTCTTCCCCCACATTAAACTAAAATAGTTTAAGTTTCCAGAACGGTTAGTGTGTATGGAAAGGGTCAAGGATCTAGCTTCAGGTATAGAAGATAAGGGAATAACGAGGAGAAGGGGAATGAGGATGTTATACTTAAATGCATGCAATATATGAGAAAAGGTAAATGAGCTAGTAGTTCAGATTGAAATTGTTGAGTACAATGTTGTGGGTATCACAGAGACTTGGCTGCTAGGGCATTAGGGCTAAGAACTAAATACCCTAGCGAAAGGATGGGTATAGGGTGCGGGACTGCCTTGTTTAGTAAGAAATGAAATTAAATCAATAGAAAGAAGTGATACAGGGTTGGAAGGCATAAGATCTGTGTGGGTAGAATTGAGGAACCAGAAAGGAAAACAGAACCTGATGGGAGTTATGTACAGCCCCCCTAGCAGCTGTCGGGATGTCGGGCAGAGAATAAGTCAGTCTGTGGAGGCCAAGTCATTGAGTGCATTTAAGACAGAGATAGATTCTCGATTAGCAAGGATTATAGACAGAAGGCAGAAGAATAGGATTGAGAAATATGATTAAATAGCAGAGCAGTCTCAATGGGTCGAATGGTCTAATTCTGCTCCTATGTCTTATGGTCTGTCATTTTGGTACGTGGTCTAGTATACTGGGAGGTTCACAGTTTTGAGAGCAGACATCAACATCCGTGCCCTGCTCATGAAGAAAGGGAAAAATATTTGCTTACTCTGAAAGCTGTCAGGCATTCACTGTCAAAAGGAACTAGTGCAAAAAAATTTCAATCAACTTACAATGCCAATAATTTCAAAATCAACCGTGCAGCTGCCAAACTCATTGCAATCGGAACGTTCACTTTAACAGCTGCAAAATTCTACCATCTACTCTTCACAAACAACCTAGAGACTGACACATTCACCTTGTGTTAACTCAGCTTTATTTAGATTCCTTACTTATTCTAATTTGTATGTGTGCAAGTTGCATTATTATCTCTTCTCACATTTAGTAACTAATAAACTCTTTCTTCTGTTAATTCAAGAAGATTGGGTTAATTTGTATCTTTTAAAAATGTAAGTTCACCTTTACTTGGGAGAACAGTAAAATTACACTTGTGTCCAACAGAGAGGGCAGGAGAATAAAAAGGAGTGGACAATTCGTCTACACTCATCTGGGAACTTGACAATTTGGAGTCTTCTGTTTGAACTTTGTAATAACATGGGAATGCATCTGTGGTCAGCTTGAATTAATCAATTATGATCTGATTTATACCAAAACACATACCAGGTAGGTTTGTTTTTCCTGTATAGAGCACAGGTGCTCACCATGTATTGTATTTCTTGGAGAATTCAAACTGAATTATGCTCTTTTCATAAGGATGTAACTGCAGGTGGGGATTGTGCCCCTGCCTTCAATGAAGCAAGAATGATATTCCATACTGGTTATTTTTGTTCAAACCCTTTAAGATGCAGGATTTCACTGGTTACATTGACAATTCAGGAAGCCTTGTATAATGAAAGCACTGCTCCATAAGGGCACCAGGCCTGATTGGATATATTGCTAATGGTCTTATTGTAAGATATTTGATCAAGTCAAACATTATTGCATTTGACTTACAAAGTTTTTGACTGAGATTTTCACTCCTGAGGCTAGTATCATGCTAGTTATGTGTGATTCAGAAGAAAATTTGGCATTTGGCATGATCTCCATTCTGGGAAGGAGGAGGGAGTGGAAAGGGATAGAATCCAGTCTGCTATGCACGCAGCCACAGAGGTGAGTCAGTGCTGAGGCAGGCAATTTAAAAGAGCTGCCTCGGTTTTCTGGGACTTCTCCCAGGTGTTTAATTAGACTTTAGGTCCTCTATTCCTCACCCGTCATACCCCAACACCCCGTCCACCCACTCCCCATGCCACCTTCCTACCTCAATGCCAACTCTAGCTCCCCCACAACCTATTTTAGCCCACTACCAATCAAATGCAAACCTCACCCACCACCTCGATCCTTGCAGCTCTGAAGCCAAGTCACTCAGTAACCACAACAAATAGACATGGAAGTCACATAAGGATGAAATACAATTAAGATATAGGAATATATTACAGCCTTCTATGAGGGAATCTATGTCTGGAATCTTACAGGGCCCTCAAATACATGGTCTATGGTGAGAAATCTGGGAGAACTGTCCCAGAGGAAACAGTCCCTGCAGAATGTTGTCAATGATAGCCACCCCACCAGCTTCCACATGTAAAGGATCATAGCTACATGTCCGTTACCTCTAATAAGATGTCACGACCAAATGCACATTCCCTTCCCCTCTCTTGGCAGCATTCTACAGGAACCGTTCCCTCTGGGACACACATAAAAACTCCTTTTCCACTTCTGACATCTCCTCACACTCCCAGAACACCTTCCCCTGCAATCACAGAAGGTATAATACCTGCCCATTTATACTTCTTCCCCCCTCACCATCCACGTGCCCAGACACACCTTCCAGGTGAAGCAAAGATTTACCTGCAATTCGCTCATTCTGGTTTACCATATTCACTGCTCACAACATGGTATCCTCTAGATAAAATCATAGAATCCTTACAGTGTAGAAGTAGGCCATTCGGCTCATTTGGGGAGATGAAACGCAGACTGGGTGACCGTTTTGCAGAACACCTACATACTGTCCGTAAAAATGATCCTGAGCTGCCAGTTGCCTGCCACTATAACACACCACTGTGTTCCCATTTCTGTCACAGGCCTGCTGTAGTGTTCCTTCGAGCCTCAGTGCAAGCTTGACAATCAACATCTTATATTCCGCTTGGGCCTTCCCTGCAGCTCCTAGCACTGAACATCAAGTTCAATAACTTTACAGCATGATTCCTTCCTTCTTTGTTCATTATCTTGTTCATTATAAAAGCTGGGGCTTTTCGCAGTGGGGCGAAGGGGGATGGGGGGTTGTTTGGTGGAGGTGTGCAGAATGATGGGAGGCGTAGATGGAGTGGATGGTTGGAGACTTCTTCCCAGGGCGGAGGTGGCTGTCGCGAGGGGGCATGGTTTTGGGATGATTGGGGGAGGGTGTAGGGGAGATGTCAGAGGTGGGTTCTTTACATGGGGGATGGTGGGCGTGTGGAATGCGCTGCTGGCAGTGGAGTTGCATACCTTGGAGACTTTTGAGTGACTCCTGATCGGCACGTGGAGGATGGTGGAGTGTACGCTATGCAGGGTAGATTGATCTTAGTGGGATGGTGGGGCGGCACGACATCGTGGGCTGAAGGGCCTGTACTGTGCTGGACTGTTCTGTGTTCTTAGCCCCCACCCCCACACTCTGATGACGAGTTGCTTTAAGCACAGCTAACACTATCTCACCCACTCTTAGTCCTATTATCATATGACATGAATCACTTTTAGCACATTCTCTCCCATTGCTAGTTCCCACCGTCACTTATTCAGCTTCTCTTCTGTCCTGGCTTACTATCAATAATTCCCTTTTCTGCCTATTCCTTTCATATCTATTTCTCTCTGGACTCTCTCTCCAACTCCCTGCTCACTTGTCTCCACCAACACCCCTGCTCAACCTTGTCTTCAGCATAAATATCACTTTTTCCTAGCTGCTAACCATCTGATGTAGTGTCACTGGACTCAAATCATTAACTCTGCTTTCTCCCCCACAGATTATGCCAGACCTGCTGAGTTTCTCCAGCAATTTCTGTCTTTGTTTCATATCTTCAGCATCCATAGTTGTATGTTTTATTATTCTAGTTGAATAAATGTATTTTTAGGTCCATCTTCCAATTCCCATGCAGTTTCATCACCTCTGCTGTTTGTGAGGAATACCAGGGCAATAAACAGGGAGCACAGACCTGGTGTTCTAAATCTCCCAGCATTTATTCTAACAATAGACATGGGCAACAAGATCATAATATACTTGAAGCTGAAAGACTTGAGCAAAGTACTGAAATAGACATTGAAATCTTGGAGCTATATTACTCACTAATTATTTAGTGCTTTCAGGAAAGTAGAATATGGAGAAAAATTCACAGAAAAAATAGTAAAGTTATGCCATACTTACCGCAAATAGCGTTGAGTAGTTCTCAATCATTTTTTGAATGACCCCAATGATTGCAGAGCTTTCCTCCACTTGAGCTGCCTGCACACTGTAGTCTTTGTCAGACAGTATCTCCCTATAAAGGAGGTTTGGGCCAAAGATGGTAGCCAGATTGACGACAGTCATTTTGTTTCCAGTCATCTTAAAAAAAAAACAAACATCCACGTTCTCCATGATCAACATTTATTATATAGAAATCTGGTAGAATATTATTCATCAACTGGAACAAATTAGACAGAATAAAATGGACAGCGAGTTCACAATTTCCATTTCTGGTGAGAGAAACCCTGGTATTGGAACATAAAGGTCTAAAATTGGATCCACATTGAATGCATACATCTTTTTATACTGTCTTTCCTCACAATAATCACAAGATAAATATACAGCTCATTCACACAAATTTATTCAACGTTTATTTGCCTTACGTAGGGATTAATTCCATCTTTAATCAAAGAAAAATTGCTTGGCACCAGTCTGAAATTTGCTTTTTGAGTCATGGCTGATCATCCAACATAGAAGCCTGTATCTTTAAACTGTGACCCCTGTCTCATTCTATCTTTTCTCATACGATGAGCTCTCCAAAGTTATCTTGTCAAAAGACTTCACACTTTGCTCTGTTGACCCAATTTGCAGTAAACTGCTAATCACCCAACTAGCATTCTGGGCTCATGTCTCCACCAATACTGGTTCATTTGAGAAAATAAAAATTCACCTTGACAGCTCATTCTTTGTTTACAGTCCCTATAATGAACGTTCCTTTCATTTCTTCAGTCCTGTGTTGATACCTCTTAATCCTTCCTCTTCTATATATATATATATATATATGTAGCCTGAAGACAACATTACATAGAGACATGGGAACAACACCCATCTGTATCTTTTAACCACCTCTATGAACCATTCCACTGCCTCTGTCAGACAGCATGTCCAACATCCAGTCCTAGATAAGTCTCTAGTTAACATTGTAATCTCTCCAGTGTCCATCACTCTTCTTGATTCTTCAAATCTTTTGCAGTGTCACCCTGCTTGATTGACATTAAGTGATCAATGAGTCAAAATTTGCCAGCAAGTGTCAAGAAACAAGAGAAAATTGTAGGATAAATAAAAGTTACGATTATATCATTCAAAAACTCAAAGAAGACTAAATCTCCAAAGTGTGTATATCACACACGTCATTATGTTACACTGCCAGACATTATGATCTTTCCCAGCCCCATATACATTCCTACCTGAATGGCATCTAAATTTATTTTTCTTCACTTTATCCCATGTCTCAAATAAATAGCACATCCCTAAAATTCTTTAGGGATTTGATTGCTTTCCTACTATAGCCATGTTGAGTAAAACACCCAAGAAACTGGTACTGACCCACTTGATGTTGTTTGTCATTCTCCAAAAAATTCTAAGTGAGGAAAATTGCTCCTATTAGAGGAGAATGCAGAGCCAGCAGTTTCTGCTTCATTGTCTTGAATGGAACTCAGGGTAATAGCGGCAACAAGTAAGCTCAATGAGGGAGATGGTGTATTGGCTTCCACAAGGTACGTAAAGCCTGAAAAATTTTAGTAGAATTAATTATTCTGCAAATCAGCCTGTTTTTTGAGAGTGTGGTCAAGGTACTGCTCAAAGTGGAAAATGGGGATGTAGTGCGTCTGAAGCATGAGGACAGGCAAAAATGTGCACCCACCAGACCCAAGAAATATCAGAAGCTTTATGTATAGTCAACCTCTTTTAACTGACTGTTAGGTAAACAGGCATGGCAGTCAGATATGCACACTGCAACCAAATCTAACAGTCAGTAAACAGAGAAATGAGCAATTAATCTGATTTCATTGTCATCAGATTAGACACCAAAAGAAGGGATTGTTAATTTGTATTTTTCTGAATTGCTGATGTATCAAAATTGGTGTCATCATTACCTCTTGCCCATCTTCTCCAAGCGTGTCGTGAGCATGGCTCGCCACCTTTGACAGCAACTCAAGTAATCGGAGTAATGTGTCACAGTTACACGGAGGTAACAGATAAATCAGCAGCTGGAGGATGGAGAGCTGGTCTTTCTGCTTCATGGCTGCACCAGATAAAACATGAGTTCAGGATATTGTGATATAGCAGAATCTTTTGTTGACATTCTATTAATCAAACCATAAATCAGCAATTTGGATACTGTGATGATGGGTGTACAATACAATATTTTACATCCTAACTTTGCAGATATTAATAGAGGTTCATGCGTTTGTGGTTCACAATTCTGTGAACGTGACATCTTTTTCAAGAGGGACAGAAACTTTACTTTTAGTAGTGAGTAAGAAAGCCTGTGACTTGAACTAAATGACAAGATAAGCTATGTTGTGAGAACTGTCGGAGCATTTATGCGATTGATTTTTTAGCACCTCCAGAAAGAGAGGGTAGAGACCAGAAGTAGGTTGCGTTCAGAAGAAAATATCCACAACAGCAGAAGAATAGTTTGGTTTTGGAAGTCTCCAGTCCAGCAGAGCTGGCCTGAACCTACTTTAGCAGCCAAAGCATAGAAGATTGGAAAAATCCCTCAGATTTTATTTGAGGCCAGAGAAGAAAGATGATTGAGTTAACATGTGTAAGTATGTCTTGGGAAGAGGCAGCAATGGAACAAATCCCATCTGGTAACTGCAGAAATTTGCATATGATTACATTTATGGTCTATCAAGCCAAGTTTCATTCTGGCATCTAAGTATTATTGGAGTGTCTGGGGTATTAACAATATAGGGGCTCTTGGCAGAATGAAAAGCCACTGAGTTTAAGAAAGTCTATGAATCTTTCAAAGTGAGTATATGGAGGTATTAGGTATAAACACTGGAGAGCTGTTGTGCAGTATATTACAGGGATTGCAGTTTCAAAATCCCTCGGAAACCTATCAGTTTCAGTCCAATAATATGCTTATGTTATAATAAGACAGGACGTACCAAAATCATTTGCTGGAAGTTGCACAGGAGACCTGTTTCAGCAATAGGAAGGCCTAAAGTATCTTCTGAAAAGGGGGAAATCAGGAAATGAAAAGGCTATTAAAATGCAGCAGTAGGTGGAGTACGTTCCCTCAGAACCTGCAATGAAGGAATAGATGATACAGGATAATCAAGAAAATCAGACCGTTGGAGTATCTGACTATTTTATTTCGAGTGGAGATCGCGTCCTGGTTTTTCTCATAAAGGAAGTAAATCAATAAAGGTATTGAAAACCATCAGAACAAATCAGTTATTGATTCTGGCTGATGATACAATTAGTCTTCCAGAGGGGCTAATGAACGAAAGAAACATTAACTACAGCTATTTGTGAAGGTCACAAATCAGTCCCATTACATAGAGTTGGATTAAAGAGTGATTTGGTAAATGGAAAGTTGTAATTAGAGTAGTGAAACAAATCCCTTTATAAAGAATTGATGTTATCTTGGGATAGTTATGGTGGTTTCAAAAATATTGGACTCTTAAGTGTTTTGGACCAACCGGTGAAAGTTAAAAAAATACCGAAATGCTACAGGAGGAACAGCCTGGATATATTCCCGACTGTATTTTGTCTAAATCGCATATTTATAGAAATAGACAGGAAGAGAGAACCACTTTAAAGAGGGAGGTTACTTGGAATTTCAGTTGTTATTCAAAACTTAAATGAAGAGGATGACTGTAAAGAGAATAAATCTGGTTTGTTTAGGCTATCTTGTTTAATAGAAATGCAACAGATAGGTTGTGAATTGAGAGAGCCATATAAATAGCCTATTCAGGAACTGAATCAGTTCCAATACTTGAGAGTTGTTACTGAATTGACAAAGTGTTAATGTGGAAATGAGACAACCTCAACTATCACCTAATAAGGGATGGGCAGTAATATATCAGGTGGTAGTTCCAGCTGAGTATGTCAAGAACATTTTATGAGTAGCTCACAAAATTTCTATGACAGGTCGGTTGAGTATAAAACACAGGCTAATATATTAAAGCATCTCTATTGGTCAGGATTATATAAAGATGTAATTACAGATTGCTAGACATATTATACTCGTCAAGTAGTGGGGAAGCGCAAACTATACCTTAAACCTGCGGCTTTGATTCGAATACCAGATTTTTAAAAGCCATTTTACAGGGTCTTAATAGGTTGTGTAGAACCCCTCCCTAAACCCAGATTGGGAATCAATATCTTTTAACTTTACTGGAAGTTTTAGCTAGATTTCCTCAAGCATTGTCTTTTGGGGAAAAAAAATTGCATAAATGGTAATAGAATAGGTGGTTACATTTTCTTTCACAAGGTAAGGATTACTCAAGGAAAATAATCAAATCAAGCATCAAAATTTTATATCACAAATATGCCAAGAAATATGAATAAAGCAATTTATGTCTTCAGTTTATCATTGACAATATCAAGGAGAATGGGAAAGACGGCATCAAAATTTAAAGACCATTAGTTGAGTTTATTTTCCAAAAATGTCCTAATAATTGGGATAAAGGAATTGCCTTCTTATTGTTTACCAATAGGGATGTCCCTGCATCTACATGATTCAATCCTTTAGAACTGATATATGGGCAGTTGGTAAGAGGACCATTAAATTAATAACAAAAAATGAAGTTCAGAGGCAACACTTCTCACCGATTTGTCAAGTTTATGAAACAAATTAACAAAAAGATGGGAGCTGGTCAAAATGCATTTGAAAGTGCAAAACATTGAAAACTAAAAGCAGTAAAAGGCCAAAGCTCAGAGTGTTGTTGCTGGAGCCAAGTTGTTAGTATTGTTAGCCATTTCTGGGAAGGTTTTCTAGCCCTTACCAAGTTATTAAAGAAATTTAATTCTGTATATTTGCTGTCAGTATGGCTGTAAACTCAAACAGTTTGATCTCACTTACTCATGGTGTTGATGAAGGCTGAGTAGAGTTCCTTGGGAAGAAGAGGATCTGGCATGTCCCGTAAGAACTCTTTAAGTAAAGCTGCCACGTCATGGACACTGTGTTCTTCATCCAAAACCACGTGTAGACCTTGATCAAACTCATCTCGCAGCTGAAGCAACAAATATTCCCTTCAATAGTACATCAATTCATCACAAAAAAAACTTATTTGAAACAGATGTGTGTGCCAAATTCTATTAAACAATTCATTCACAGGTCACCTCATTGGTCAGTCACAAATAGGTCAGGCTAAACATCATGAAATATGTTCACATCCTGGTGTAAATAAATTAGCACTAATTAAAAACTTTATTTTACCTACTTCAATATTCTTCCTGATCTTCATTCCCCAATATCCCACTTCAATCAATAATGCCCTACTGCCTTATTTCTATTGAAGGTAGTACCACACATTCTAAAGCCTTGCCCAATTTATTATAATTTCTAAAACTCATTATTAGATGTTTTCAGGCTATTTGCCTACAGAGGGTTAATTACAGAACCAGATCCTACCTTCAGTCAATATCGTTCACTTGGTTTTCCTTTCATGAATCTATTAGCGTTCAGTTGAGATCCACTTGTTCAATGGAGTCTGAGAACCAAAATTTTTGATCCACAGTTTGCATCACTCCATAATATTTATTTGTACTGACTGGGTACATGTTGGTTCACAAATTAGTTGCATTTTATTCCATAAGGCTGATTCTTTTAGATTTGATCAAGGAAATTCACAGATGTTTACAGCACAGAAGGAAGACATTCAGCCCATTGTGCCTGCATCAGTTAACAAAGATCCGACTGCACTAATCCCATTTTTCAGTTCTGGGCCTATGGGTCTGGAGGCAATAAAAGGTAAGTGACTATCTAAGCACATCTCAATTTAAATACCTCTTGAATGTTATCATAGATACCCCATGCTAACTGTGTAAGCTCACATTTACCATGTCTAACCCACCAAGCCTGCACATTCCTGGACACTACAGGGCAATTTAGTATGGCCAATCCGCCTAACCTACATTTCTTCAGACTTTGGGAAGAAACAGGAGCACCTGGCAGAAAGCCACGCAAGCATGAGGAGAACATGCAAACTCCACACAGTCACCCATGGCTGGAATTGAACCTGGGTGCCTGGCACTGTGAGACAACAGTTATGTGAGCTTCTGACTTAACCATTCATTAAGACAGCTAGTTCCAGACTCCCACCACCTTTTGGGTGAAAATATTCCTCTTAGATTCAAAGTAAGAGGTAGAAGGCTATGACCCCTCCACTGAGCCTTCGTATCCACTCTATCTACACCCGTCAATCTTGTATACATCTTTCAGGTGCCCTCTCAACCTGCGCTGCTCCAAGGTAAGCAACCACAGTCTATCCAATCTTTCCTCATAGTTTAGACTTTCCACTTTATCTCTTTTAGTAAACATTTAGTCAATTGAACTAATAATCTTATGTGTCTCTGTATTAAGTTTTGTTTTACAATGCTCCTGTGAAGTACTTTGGGAAGTATTCCTCTTAAAGATGTTATAGTTCTTACCCCTCTTAAATAATCCAAATAACAAAATACTTGCCACATTTTTAAGCTTTTCTCTACAGTATTTTGGTTGGAACACATTCTTCAATGATTTAGATATTTGTAATCAATCTGTTACAACTCGTCAGTGGTACATGGGCTTTGAACCAAAATGCCTGGACCAGAAGTAGGGATACTACCACTGCTCCACAAGAACCCTTGAATCATTGAATTTACGGGTATTTTTAACTAACCCGCTGAGATAATATGACAACCTTTGATGCAAGTGGGATTTTGTACCTAGGCCTTCTGGCCCATAGGAAGTTACACTAGCCCTGTACCATACCAGCCATGAATGAATTTACAGATATTTTCGAATTAACCTGTTCAGAGAATACATTGCACACTTCTGGAGCAGGTGGGACTTGAACTCTGGCCTCCTCGCCCAGAGGCAGGGATAATACCAACATGTCATGAGTCCCAATGTCAGTGAAATTACATTCTGCCAGTGATCGAGAGTGATCAGCTGTGGCAGATGATAGGATTTCCTTGGTCACCTGTTAGAAAAAAAGCTCTTAAGGGCTCTTGTGGCACAGTGGTAGTGTCTCTACCTCTGGACTAGGATGCCTGGGTTCAACTCGAACCAGCTCCAGAGGTGTGCAATGGCATCTTTGAACACGTTGATGGGGAAAAACCAGTAGACCTTCATAATGAATGCCAGCACTGTAAACTGCCACTTAGTGAAGGCGTAATAAGTGTTTCCTGGATAATGAGAAATTATTTGCAACTTGTTTCTCCAGTTAAATATTATCTAACGTAACTGAATGTAAATTACTCAGTGCTCTGGTCAAACCACACCTGGAGTACTGTGTCCACTTCTGGTCAATGAGCCACAGGGAGACATTCAGGTCCTAGAGAGGCACAAAGATCCACAAGGATGATCCCTGATCTTAGTTTGAGTTATGAGGAAAAATTTGTGAAATTTTACAATTTGTCTTCAAAAATTGAAGTCTGGTTAGTCAAGATTGTAAATGCTATGGAAAATGTAATGTGGAAAATTACTTCAAAATAAATTTTAAAAGTATTCTAAGCAGCTAAAGACTTAAACCAGTAAAAGTAAAATTAAGACCGATAACACCAAAGCCTGAGTTTTACTGTGGATCACAAGAGAACAACATCATGGTAACAAGCTGGTTCAGAGCCTGCATTGCTGAGAAGTAGCACCTCCTAGGCCCAATATTTGGCCAGCAGTGTGTCTGTTAACTAATTATATGAGCTGAGCTCCTGATGCTGCTGGTCCAATTAGAGGTCTGACAGCTCTGAAGCTTCAGCAACATTCTTAGAGGGTGGTTCTACTGAGGTGCAGGGGGACTAGATCTTCAACGCTCAAATAAAGGAAATCATGAAGCCGCTGGAAGATCACTGGGGGTTGCGACTGCTGTCTTCAGTGCCGGTGGCCTTATCTTTCAATCTTTGAGTCAGTAAGCCTCCAGTGGAACTGTATCTGCATGCTGTGATGACATGGCTCCCTTTTCTTTTACTACCTACTCCAATACGTCACTCTTGGTACTGTCAAGGTGGAAACAGTCACATTCTTACCTCAGTTCTTCTGTGCACAAATACTGATCCACACGTGATCTGGACTTTTTTGGATAAAAATGTAAATCCTGAAATCATGTGACTTCAAAGCAGATGTTGCAATGATGCAATGCTTTCAGGGTGATTTACAGATTTACAAAAGTTCCAAATAGGATATACCAAACTTTGGGAAGGTAGGAACTCAAATATTGACATTTTGGTAATTAATGGCAGGAGTCTGGAGGCGGGTTGACGGTAAGAGGTCATGTGATGACATCTTCTGGAATATTCCCAGCTACAGTTGGGAATTGTATTCTGTAGACCATGGATCACTGAGAAATGACAACCAATTTAATTCTAACCCAATATCTTTCCACCTGAAACTCTCTCCAAGCTTTTAAGATATCATTTCAGTACTGCTTCAATTGTGAAAATTTTAATTTTACATATTGCGTGCTTCTCTGTTTTTGGACAAGCAACAATATGCACTGAAACAGTAGTAATTATAAATCAGTAACTCAAAATAATGGTCAGCAATTCACCCATCAATTACAATTGCAAACATAAACAGAATATATTACCATACAATTATGTTGCACTTATGAGCATTTATCAATTATCATTGAATTTCATTTCTACAACTATGCATTTGTACATGGTAATGGGTGTAACATGAACAGTAGATACTCGGGCTACAAACTGTCCCACTGGTCTGTTTTTATGACCAATTTTCCCAGTTAACTAAATAATTCTACATTTAGTGGAAAATTAATTGATTTAACTACTATGACCAAACTCTCTTGCCACTCTAGAGAACAACCAATCTAGGAAGGGATAATCCTAACCTGCCAAGTGATTGACAGTTCCTTGCAGCCACATATACAGGGATCAGTGAGGGTAATTTTTGCAGTGGGAGCTAATGAGATTGCCAAAGAAGAGGACTAGGGACCAAAGTAATAACAGTAAGTTCAGTGAAACACCACATGATATTAGGTGAACTGGGCAAATGGTTGGCTATTACAATGAAATTGAAGAGGTGTCATCAGCAACAGAGCTTCAGTGACAACAACGTAGTTAAAACCCCTAGGTCTAAATTCCAGCTTTTTCTGGCTGCACAATAAGTCCAAAGTGAAGGTGGCTTGATTCTTAAAGTCCAATGCAGCATGAGGGAGTTTTGTTTTTGCTGAATTAAATATAAAGAATGGGGAAACGGGGAGGGGCCTCAGCAGAACTGAAAATGTGGATTTTTGAGCCACATAGAGTAAACTTTGTGAAAAACTAAGGGGAGGTAATGGCCTGCTGATAATGTCACAGGACTAGTCAGGCAGACTCATGCTGTAGTGACATGGATTCAACTTACAGCATGGCAGCTGGCAGGACTTTGAATTAATTTAATAAACCTGGAATATGAAGCTAATCTCAATAATGGTGACTATGAAATGACCGTGTGTTCTAAAAGTACATCTGGTTCACTAACGTTCTTTAGGGAAATAAATCTGCTGTCACTACTTGGTCTGGCCTACATGTGACTTAAGACCGACACAGCAATATGGATAATTCTCAACTGTCCTCAGACATGGGCCAGCAAGTCAGTTCAAGGGCATTTAAACATGGGCAAAGAATGTTGGCTTGCCACTGATGCCTAAATCCCCCAAAAGAATAAAGAAAACAACTTGAGATTGTCCCAGTTTGCATGGGAAACAGATGTTTAGTTACTCTGGACAGAGAAGCTAAGGTGGAGCAAAGAGAATATTTAGTTCTGAATTGAAGCCCTTTATTTTAATTAATGTAGAAGGATTGTTGTAACTCTTAACTTCTTCATTCATTGTTGGCACCTTGTTTCACTTGGTGAAATTTCTGTTGTAATTGTCCAGTTCAATACTTCATTCCACACAGAATATAGCATTTAATTCTCACTCAACTTTAAAATTTCACAGATGACTACTGTTCCAGAGAGATCCTTTGGACCTCTCATTTGCTCTATTACTTCTAGTCTTCTAAGCCTCAATGCTGTTGTAGAGATCCCTTGGAAACATACATAGTCGTGTAAATAAATCAATTTGTTTTAGACAGAGTAGTTGTTTCTTTTATCTGGCATTCATCTCAACTGAAATGCATTTCATGATTTTTAAATTTCTTATTTACCTGTCGAACTCTTTTCTTAGAGCTTCCAACTCGGAAAATACCAACTGTTTGAAGACCTGAAGAAAATAAATGAAAATTTTAAATAATGTAACTTTTGACTAGTGAGCTTTGGAAATGATCATAAAAAGATGCCAGTACTTAATATTCCATAGGACTTGCAAAAATATTAATCATGTATCCAACCTCTTCTTTCCTGTAAGCCTCTCTTTTGGGTTTAAAAGAAATAAACTGAACTGGTATTAGACAACGATTTTAAAATTAAATTGTACATGAGAAAAGTAAAATGATAAAGTAAGTAGCAAACATTAGCTGTTTAAAAATTAAAGTAGAAAGGCGAAAAAGGAGAAGGCAGCAGAAAATGAATTAGAATAGAGAAAGCAAAAAAAAGGTTATACTAATGGTATTCCAAACTACATTATACACCTATCATCCCTGAATATTGTCTTGAAGAATAAAAGAAAAGACTAAAATAGAAAATCTTTCTGAGCTCCGAGTGCATGGATCAGAATTCCTACAAGTTGTAGGGTCACTGGGAGGCTATTCATTTACATGGACCCCATGCCAGTAAAATGCCTACTTACGATTTGGAAGTGCACTATCCAGGCCTCTACACAAAGATTGGAAAAGACAGGCAAAGGTAGCCAAATGAGGAATTCATAGAATGTCTTCAGCATAGTTTCTTAGAACAGCATGGTCTGGGTACAGCAAGCTATACTAGATGTTACGCAACAAGATAGGATTAATTAATGCCATCATGTTGAAGGCATCCATATATAGCAGCAATTACAGTATGATTGAATTTTACAGTCAGTTTCAGGGAGAAAAGATGAGAAAAGTGGTGCCAAGAGGACAATTATGGGGATGTGTAAGCAGTGATAGTGAAAGTGAGATAGCAAATTATGTTAAAGAATGGGTCACTAAGGATGCAATAATAGACATTTAAGGAGCTATTTCAGAATACAGACAATTTATACATTTCAATGAAAAAGTAAAATTCCAAGGTGAGGAACTAACATCCATGGCTAAGTAAAAATGTTAAAGCTAGTATCAAACTTGTGAAAATAAATATAATTATACAAAGATAGTTAGAAGCCAGAATAAATATTAAAAAAAACACTAAAATAATACTGAGCTGGGAAAAATTAGAGTACAAGTAAAAGCTAGCTAGAAATATAAAAACAGAGTTTCAATTTAAACTTGATAAGAGCTTACAAAATGAGCGCTGGTGCTATGGAAAGTAAATCTGGGGAATTATTAAATGGAAAACCAGATCACAGATGAATTATTGTAAAATACAGTGTGACTAAACTACATCTTCAGACAATCACTGTTGACAACGTCCTATAATGAGATGATGAGCCCCAACAACATGGGATGCCCTGGGTAGATTTGCTGCCACCAATCCTCCTTATTGGTGTTAGCCTAAGTTACTGATACCAGTGAGGTTGAAGGCTGCTGCAAAACATCAACAAACGACAGGCTTTAACTTGATAAACAGTAAAGGTTTATTACATTGTATCTAATATTTAGTTACGTTACACCTTATGATTTAGGACAGACTCAATGAAAAAGTAAGTATACATTAGTGTTAGCCTCTGAAACATTCTGGTAATCATACACTGGATGCTGTATAATTCCTCTCAGATACAATCCTTTACTTCCTCATGATATCAGTTAACTCTTTCAGGTACAAACTCTCCTAGTCAACATTTCTCCCCAAGATTTTTCTGGATATTAAGTTCATTGTATGCTTGTTTCAAATGAGTAAAATAAGTTTATCACTTCTCCACTTTCCCCTAATTTTCTGAAAATGTTTATATTCATTCATGGGATGTGGGCATCACTGGCTGGCCAGCAAGTATTGACCATGCCTAGTTGCCCTTGAGAAGATGGTGTTGAGCTGCCTTCTTGAACCACTGCAATTCACTAGCTGTAGATTGATCCACAATGTCCTTAAGGAGGGAATTCCAGGATATTGATCCAGCAACAGTGAGGGAGTGGCGATATATTTCCAAGTCGATGGTGAGTGGCTTGGAGGGGAACTTGAAGATGATGGTATTCCCATGTATCTGCTGCCCTTGTCCTTCTAGATGGAAGTGGCTGTGGAGTTGGAAGGTGAAATCTAAGGATCTTGGGTGAATTTCTGCAGTGCATCTTGTAGATGGTACACACTGCTGCTACTGAGCGTTGGTGGTGGAGGGAGTGGATGTTTGTGGATGTGGAGCCCATCAAGTGGGCTGTTTTGTCCTGGATGGTGTCAAACTTCTTGAGTGTTGTTGCAGCTGCAAATGGACAGTATTCCATCACACTCCTGACTTGGGCTTTGTAAATGATGGATAGGCTTCGGGGAGTCAGGAGAGGAGTCAATCACCGCAGTATTCCTAGCCTGGTATTGTAACCACTGTCTTTATATGATGAGTCCAGTTGAGTTCCTAGGCAATGGTAACCTTCAGGATGTTGATAGTAGGGGATTCAGTGATGGTAACACCATTGAATTTCAAGGAGCAGTGATTAGATTGTGCCTTATTGGTGATGGTCATTGCGTAGCATGTTATTCTTGCTACTTGTCAGCGTAAGCCTAGATATTGTCCAGATCTTGTCACATCTGGACATAGATTGCTTCAGTATCTGAGGAGCCATGAATGGTGCTGAGCATTGTGCAACCCTTAGCAAACATCCCCACTCTGATTTATGATGGAGAGAAGTTCATTGATGAAGCAGCTGAAATGGTTGGGCCTAGGACACTACCCTGAAGAACTTCTGCAGAGTCATCCTGGAGCTGGGATGAGTGACCTCCAACAACCACAGCCATCTTCCTGTGTGCCAGATATGCCTCTAATCAGCAGAGTTTGCTGCCTTATACCAGTTTTGCTAGGGGTCCTTGATGCCAGACTCAGTTGGATGCAGCCTTGACGGCAAGTGCTATCACTGTCATCTCACCTCATTTAGAAATAGCTGACAACTTAGCTGGCTGGGTCAGCATTTATTAGCCATTGCTTATTGTTCTTGAGAATGTGGTATGAGCTGCCTTTGTAAATCACTGCAGTTAATTTGGTGTAGGCGTACACACATTGTCATCGGGGAGGGAGTTCCAGGATTTTGACTCAGCAACAATGAAGAAACAGTGATATATTTCCAAGTCAGGGTGGTGAGTAGCTTGAACAGGTAGTTACAAGTAATTATGTCCCCATGGTTCTGCTGCACTGGCAATTTAAGATAGTAGAAGTCATGAGTTTGCAAGGTGTGATCTAAGGAGTCTTGGTGGATTCATGAAATTCATCTTGTACATGGTGCATGCTATAGCTACTGAGCATCAGTAGTGGAGTGGATGTGGTGTTAATCAGTTGGTTTGCTTTGTCTTCGATGATATCAAGCTTCTAGAGTACTATTGCAGCTGCACTCATCTGGGCAAGTGGAAACTATTCCATGAAACCCCTCACTTGTGTCTTATTGATGGTGTACATGCAGTGGGGAGTCAAGAGGCGAGTTATGCATTGTAGGATTCCTAGCCTCTGACCTGGTCTTGTAGCCACAGTATCACAGATCTTAAAGCACTTTCCCTATAAAGACTGCTATATGATGTCACAACATGTAATGCTCTAGCCTCTATCTTACTTCCCCTGCAGCATACAACTAGTCTGCTAATGAGCTTTCAGTTAGTTGGACAAACAACCAGCCAGCTAGTCAACTATATATGTAATATAATAGTAATCCAAGCAAGTATATAAGCTAGACTGTTCAATGAAGTCTAGATATCTCATTAAATGTACATAGTTAATTAACGAAGTAAATATCAGAAATCTGAATCAATAAGAATCTGATTCTCTATGGTGTACACAATGTGGGCTAACACATAGGAACCGTGGTCACATCATGGTGGCAGAAGGTGGATCTTAGAAATCAGTGTCAGCAAGCAGGCCCTAGAAGCTGATGACTGCAAGTTGTTACCAAAGGCTGAATAAAGATAATACCTTTTCACAACTGTGAATGTTATCTTCCTAACAGCCATTCATTATATCCAGGTTCGGGCCTAATGTTCATATTTAACGACCAAGTAAAAATGGTTCAACAGTATGATCAACATGCATGCAGCTAGACACAAAAATTAACTGCAGATGCTGGAATCCAAGGTAGACAAACAGAGCACAGCAAGCCAGGCCGCATCTGGAGGAAAGGAGCAGTCAACATTTCAGGTATTACCCCTCTTCAGGACTAAGCAGCTATCCCAATATGAAACAGAACATAGCACTAGAATTCAAGTTTGCTGTAAAATACATGGATTTATTGAAAGACCATGAGGTTGTATCCAGCCCAAATCATACAACCTTGTTGTTTACAATGATCAAAACCTACAATGAAACAAATTACACATCTATGTTGTATATAAACAATCATGCGTTATACACGATGATGAGTCTGATACTGAAAGTATCATACCAGAGAGGAGCTTTATATCTTTGATGCATGGTAAACATCCATCCACAACTACAAATAGCACACTACACAGTGAAGATACACAGATAAGTCATGATAATTATACATGGTCTAGATCTAGTTGTGTTGTACGTCTGTTTAAAAATTAAGTACAAATATGCACCCTTGTAAATGTCTATCAGAACCGGTTTTCTCTTCAAAGAAGAAAAGGAGGAGGTTTTATTATTGTAGAGATATGAGAAAGGCATTATACTTTTATGACAGCTAGTTTACATCATGATACTGTCATATGAGAAGTCTCAATCTTAGTCTCTGTACAGTTATGAGGGGAGGGGGCAAGGTGTAATGGTAATGACAATGGATTAGAACTCAGAACACCAAGCAAATGTCTGGGGTCATGGGTTTGAAATCCACTTTGGCAGATGGTGAAAGTTGGACTGAATAAAAATCTGAAATTAAAAGCTAGCCTACTAATTTTCCTAATTTGTAAGTTCTTGATTGAAGTAGTCAAAATTCACTGCCCAAGTCCTGGGATGACTGGGCTGACATATGATGAGAAACTGGATCAGTTAAGAACATATTCACCAGCATTTAGAACAAAGAACAGTACAACATAGGAACG